TGCAGCATGAGATAGCGATGCCATCATCTGAAAATGGAACGGTAAGAGAAGGGGATCACCAAGCAGGTGTCTTTCAGCACCGTCGCCGCGCGACATAGCTGCTTTAATTGGGAGCTCACGTCACGCTGGAGCTGGGGCGGCGTGTCCAGAGGCAAACAAACGCAAGGCGGTGCAAGGATTGCTTTTCTTCGTCGTCTCTCGAGGGTGACGATATTGTGACGAGGGTGTAACAGGGGGGTGACGGATAGGGGACCATTTGGCTACCAGGAGGTGACCAGGAGGTGGCCACATGGCGACCGTGCCCAGGTCGCAATCTCGTCACCCTCTCGCCACTGTGTCGTTCGATCGCGGTCGCTAGACACTCACCAGGTCGTCACGGCGTCCGCACGCGCAAGAGACGACGGTGCGACGGGATGGCAATACGCAGCTCCTCTCGGGGAGCAACCAGAGGTGTTCGTCGTTGGGATCGAGGCCTCGCCGGCCCTGCGCCCTGGTCTGGACCACCTTGAGGCCAGGCTTGGAGGAGAGGAGTGTTGCACAGTAGTGATTGTTGGCCGGCGGGGGGAAGTTAGGACGATCAACTAACGCACTGCTCCCCCTGCGCGCCAAACCCTCTAGTATAGACTGGATCGTCTAAAAATCGTTATGTTTATTTTGGATAAATTCAGTTGATTTAAAAGCTAATTCCAAGGAGATTCCCTAGTTTCAAGTTGAAGGAAACGATTTTCTGGGTGCAAACCTTGCGCAGAGCAGGCTGAGTGATGTCCCGACGCGTGGCACAGCAGAGGGTGAGTTTGATACTTTGCAAGTTTTCTCAATGGAACACCTTAAATATGTCCTCCAGGTCGACGCTGCGGAGCTGAAAAGTGCTTACGAAGACTTTTTGACAACGACCACAGCACCTGCAGATGTGGCATTAGGTTTTGTCGCGTGCAGTGGGCCTGAGACCCGGAAAGGGTTGGAAAGAGCCTACAGGGCTTCTGCTATAAACGGCTTTGGCTTTAAGAATGGAAAGGTACAGTTACAACTCGGGCTCAGTATTTGAATCTAAACGGAGGCCGCGCAGTGATTACATTTTATACCTATTAATTATCTTGCTCTCTTAGCCACTCGCCGGTTTATAATATCATGATTCCCATGATTCCGAAATACTTAATTACGAATTACTCAAATATTTTCCGTGTAATAGTAACCGAACAATTTAAGTTACGTTAACTTAAGTTAACTTAAGTTACGGCACTGCACTGGTCGCTTTAAAAAGCACTTACTTTCTTTCCTTCTGGAAATTTTGGAAGTGGTTGACATTATTTTAATTTAATGGGTTTACGCCTCAGTACAGCGGATCTGCCTTGTACTCGGGTCTCTCTCTGCTGGAGCATTCGTGTCTGCCGAATGCACGCGTTCTTCCTGACGGTGATTCAGAGGGAGTACTCCTGATTGCTGCGAGGGACATCGCTGCCGGCGAGCACGTGACCATTAACTATAACTATGGCGAGGAACCATTGCCCACCCGGTCCGAGCGCTGGCTTAGAAACGCTCGCAGGGGCTTCGTGTGCCGCTGCGAGTTGTGCGAGGATCCCACGGAAAGGGGGACTTACTTCAACGCCTGGTACTGCACAACCTGCAAAAGTAAGTAAACTTATCTTGATCCACAAATGCCCCTTTGGCAACCCTCTTGCAGGTACGTTCCGACGAGCGTGTAGGCCGACACATCGTGGCCGTTAAGGACATCCCGATGTGCACTGTCCTCATGAGGGAGCTACCGCTTGTCGTCTATCCTAGACCCGCAACGAATCCGCTTGAACCCACGAAGGTAAGTCCAAGTGGGGACGGCTGCCACTGCCCCCCCCCCTTTCCACCAAAAAAAAAAAAAAAACTCGCCTGGCTTGAAGTGGATGTGCCCTAGGATGTGCCGAGCTGGTGGCCCGACCCGTCTTGAGCGTTCTACAGTTCGTCACCGTTTTTCTTGTGCATTCTTACACTGATAAACTAAGTGTTTAACTGCTCAACACTTGAAAGTGTGCCACTGCAAGTTAAATACTTGCAAGTGTGCAAGTCCGTAGTTTTACTCTTGCAAGTGTTCAACTCGGTAGGTGTGCACTTGCGAATGTGCAACTCCTCGGTTGAACACTTCCTTAGATTGAACGCTCCCTTGCAGTCGCACACTTGCAAGTTTTTAACTTGCAGCTGCACACTCGCAAGTGTTGAGCAGTTGAACACTTAGTTTTATCAGTGTATTTTTCGTAATGTTTTGTGGTTTATTCCAGGTGTGCGTCGCCTGCTGTTTGAAGATCAATGAAACTGTCCCATGCGGCCATTGCGGGGCGCCCCTTTGCAAACGTAGCTGCCCCAATCTTGATCGCCACAACATTGAATGCGCTGCTTTAAAACCTTTAGAACATTCACCAATTGGATTTATGAGAAAAGCATCTCTCAAGTTTGGTGGTATGCTCTTTCCTATATGTCTTATGAGGAGGCGGCCATCTTGTGTACCAAAAACTAAACGGAGTGACTCAGCGCCTCAGGGTTTTTTTAAAGGTAGGTCTCGATAATATAAGACTGTCCACAAAATTTTACAACTCTAGGTCGTATCCTGAATTTTTTAAAAATAATATAAA